TCCTGCTGTTGCTATCCTGGTTAAGCATTTTTTTGTTTGGTTTGTTTGTTTGGTTTGGTTTTTTTAAAATAGTGGTAAAGAACTGCTGTGCTTTTAACTTTCTGTGATTACAGTCCTTACTCCTGACCTTGGTCCCTGGAAAATATCACAGCTGTCATATTTCACCTTATTAGCTCTGGCTTTCTGCTTGTGGGTTAAAGGTTTCCCTTTGCATCCTGTCAATTCCTTCTAAAAAAGTGTTCTGCATTTCTGTAATGCCATCATGGGTGATCTGTTACAAAGTGCTCTGTGAGCTTAAATTAATATTTCATTGTATAGAGCTACCTCAGTTGTTCCGAGGTTGAATTTCTGAGAGGCAGCATGTTTCCATCATTAAATGTATACCTATGTGTACTTTTGGTTCCCAAATGAATAATGAGCCTTTAGATTTGTGTGTGACTTATTATCAGGATCAGCCTGTCATCGGGAAGAGAATTATTGGCCTGTGTTCCCCCGGGAATGTGCCTGGGTGGCTGCTGCAGCTGGTGGGTTTTTCCTTCCTTTGTTTGGAAGGGACAGGCAAGAATGTTAGGTATCTTCGTTGACACCGAATAGTTGTAAGCAATCATTGCTCTGTGTAGCAGTGATTTTCCAGCTTTAAGATCTGTTTGCTAGTATAACTCAAAAATGCTTTAGTTATTTTCAGGCAGCGTGGTTGTGGAATCTGTTACTACACCTGTCCGAAATACACAGCTCCTCGAGCGCTCGCAGAAGGTCTGTGCACCCTGTCATTCACAGACAGTAGGAATACTTCGGCTTTTTTAGAAGCAGCTTGATTGTAGCCAGCATAAACATCATTTAGAGCCCTGCACTGTGACTCTGATGCAATTTATTCTGGCTCCATGTGCTACCATTGTGTGGGCAAACAGGGCCTCTTTATGCCTCTGGAAACCCACAAAAACATGACTTATTTTTCTTAGGTGACCTGTTGTGGGCAGTAAACCAAGAGAAGAGCATTGTGGTATTTTATGTGAAACTTCTTTTGGGCTGTTCTAAGAATTCAGTTTGTCAAGACATGAATGCATTAATGATCTCTTAATTACATAGGGAGAAACAAAAGCCTAGTGAGAAGTATAAATGTGTCGTTTGCTTCAGATGACAATGCTGCCACAGCAGAGTGTGAGAGGGTCTGTTTGTCACCAATAACAAGGGGAATTTGATGTGTCAAGAAAATAAGATTTGTATTGGCTGACAGCAAAGGTTCAAAGTAAAGCTTTTGAAACAATTAGAACTATTTTTCTATAAAGGCCTCTCTCACTCTCCTTCCTCATTTTAATTATATATTCATATTATTTCTTAGTTGTCAGGAGAGGAATTGCCAACAGGTGCTAGTTTGTCCTGAGGGACGGGCCTTGCACAGCAGGGTTTGCATCAAGGTCCCCTCCAACTCGACGGGCCCTTTTGGTGCTCTGAAAAGGGCCCTTCCAAATTACAGTCATGTCCTGCCAGCAGTCGGGCTTGGGAAGAGTGGGAACGTGCTGCAGGACCACTCAGAGAATGAACACAGCCAATTAATGAGGCAGCTGAGCAAGGAACAGAAGATTTGAGCTGAATTTGGAGCTCATTAGCCCGGGGTGTGAGATGACAACTTGCTGCTTTCCTTGGGCACGCTACAAAACTGCAACGGCTGGGACGAAAACAGGGCTGCTCACTAATGAGCGCCAGCATCTGGCAGCGAGACAAAAAGAGGGCTTTTCTGTTTTGTTTTAAGCTGATAAAAATAAAATTGCAGAGCATGTGAAAAGCAGGCTGCCAGCATCTTCGGGTCGGGATGGTTGGTCTCCTGTGTCTTCGCTCCTGGGCGCTGCAGCAGCAGCTCTGCTGCTGCTCTCAGGGGTGCTGGGTGCCTGACTCTCGTATCCTTCCTCCTCAGATGGATACTCCACTATTGACCACCGGGACAAGGAGCGCAAGTTCAAGACCAGCGATAACACGGGGGATGCCTCAGAGAAGGAACCTTTAAAAGTGAGCTGCTTCTTACTGCTGCAAACTATTGGTGCCCTTAAAAGAAAGGGAGCCTCCATAAAAAAAAAAAAATGTCTGGTAGTTGCTCACCAGGGGGCTCTGAAGGGTTTTCTGAGAGAAAGGCACCATTTCATAACCGATTGCTTGGCTGATAAGAAATAAAAACAAGGTGCTGCTTTTGCAGTGCAAAAGTGAATGCTATATTCCTGCAAAAGGATGTGGGTGTAAAAATAGAATGTGATTATTCTGCCACCTTCATCCAGGGACATTTCCTCACCCCAAAGAATGCAACAGCTCAGGCTTTGTCCTGAGCACAGTCGCTGCAAGCGGTCACTGTCCCTCGTGGCTGTCACCATCACCAGGAGGTGTGAGCTCGCGTGTCCGCGCGGGGCTCGGGCTGCATTTCCAGCTCTCACAGGCCTGACGAGGGCATCAGGCCACAGGGACGGAGAGGGAGACCTGCTTATTCCTCTGCGTGTGCCCTGTGTAAAAGCAAATTTGAATAACCTGCTAATTTTAAAAATCTGACTTCATGAAGCTGCTCTTATTGTTGCTCTGTGCAAATGTGGCTTAATGGGCTTTGACTAATTTGCGTTGCATTGATGTTCCTGTTCAGTAAATCACTTTATAAGTTGCTTAATGCTTCTAACAACGCCATGGCCATCACGTCCCTGGCCTCAAAACAAAGTTGTTTTTTTGGGGGGTTTTTTGTGTGTTGGTGGTGGTGGTGGTTGTTTCCCCCCCGCCATGAATAGGTTGCCTCTAGGGAGGAGAAAAAAAGCCAGTGAAGCAAGAGTCGGTGACAGGAAAACACTGTTGTTACTCTGCAGAAAGCCGTTCTCAATAACCTTCAGCACGTCCCTGATAATATCAGAAAATCCACACAGTTCATGTTTGGTGGAAACAATTAAACTTCAGTCAGAAAGGAAAATCCAGCATATTGAGCAAGGGAATAAAATTAAGCTTTGGAAGAGAATCTTTCCATAGCTCATGAACTAGGAAGATGTCCTCTATTAACTTGTCTGGTCATGCATCAGCCGCTGTGTCCTGCCTCTCCCTGAAGGAATACCCTGGGGACCCGCTTCATCCAGCTGCACATCTTCTAAGCACAGCTCGCTGTTTCAGTTTGCCAGCCCTGGGTTTAGCACCTTGTTGCAGACTGTTCAACGAGCCTTCTGATTAATGTAACCTCAGCTTGTGATTGCACAGGGCCCACAGTGCCAAACCTTGTGGGCTTCCTTATGAGCAGGCCCTGAGTGAACAGTCTGGGATAACGGGGCTGATCTGACACTGACCTGTGCTTTAAGTAGCAATTCGCACTCTTTTTCATTTGACCAATACTATAAATAGGTAAAGATAATGGTATATATTGTTTAGGAGGCTTTTACCAACATTAAAGCTCATTGCAGGAGAACAGCTGGCACAGTTTTCCTATTTTAAGCTTCCTTTGCTAAGCTTATACTTGTGGTACTGCTTATTAAAGAAAACCCTGCAATCACCTTTTTATCAGACCCTTCCAGATTCATGTGTGTGTGATAAGGTGAAGTTGGACAAGAAGCAAAAGAAGCAAAGTCTCATCTTTTCCCTTGGAGGAGGCTCTGCCCCCTTCATTTTTGGAACCAGTGCAGTTGAGCCAATATTCAGGTTATTCGGTTCTGCTCCCTTTTTGCTGTGATGTGGTAAGAAGTGGTTCTGCCTGATCCAGAGATAACAGGGAAAACTTCCTGATTCCCTCCTCACAGTTCTATTATATATTAAGGAATTAATGTGCTAAGTGACATACAATGTCAAGCAAAAGGAGCTTGACAGAAATTAAGCCTTTTGAAGGAAAAATAACTAAGTTGGAAGATTTACCAAGTGCTTGTTGTTTTTGCCACTCATTATTCATTAAAATGACATAATGCATAAATACATTTTCCCTCAATATCAAGCCAAGCTGTGCAAACTGCCAGGGCAGGTCTGCAGCGAAGCACAACCCAGCGGGGTCGCAGCTTTGCCTTCATGGGAGCCAGGGAAGGAACATTTCACCTCTGCAGGGCGTCTGCCGTGGGCTGTGCTGCCTCCTGCTCCTAGGGATGGGCGATAGCCTGAGCGGAGGCTGCTGTCCCGCTGCAGTGCGCCGGCCTGCTCGGCACGGGGCAGAGCCAGAGCGCTGCTCATCCTCCCTGTCTGGGGAAGCACACACACCTGTGGGCTTTCTGCCTCGGGAACTGTCCAATAACCATCTGTAAGAGTGGCCAAGAGTTGTGAGTAACGATGCCAGGGATGATGGCAGCTATTCGGCTCTTGCAAATGCTTTCATCGGTATTGTGCCTCTGCTGAGCTCGTTTCTTTCTCTACCACTAATTTTCCCTTGTGCTCCATAGAGCTGACTTATTGTTGGTTTTGTTTGTTTGATTAATCCGCTCTGTTTTGCTTTTAACTCCTCACCCTGTGCTGCAGAATGACACAAATAGGAAAAACATTAACAGGAGTAACAGGGCTTCGGTGAATCTGGTGGATGCCCGTGACATTAAACCCCAGCCTGTTGACTCCTGGGTCTAATTTGCATGCATGGTAGGTCCTTTTAATGGTAATTGGTGCTAGTGATTAACTTGTCTTGTGCATGAGATGTATCGCTGTGGAATCCCTCAGAATCTTTTCTAGCAGAAATGGCTAACCGCTAACTGGGTCCTTTCAGATAAATGAAAATGCCTTTGAAAAAGAGCAGTGTTTATATTATTCAGTGCATCTTTAATAAAACGCAACCAAAAACAGCTGTTTGATTTAAATAATAACCTGTCAAGTAACCAGACAGAAAATTAATATCTTGAATGATGGGTTGTCAAGTGAATGTGAAAGATTTCTGCTACCAGGCCATGGCAATGAATTTGAATAGCATGGTCCTGCTTTCAGCCATTCTTTCCCTCTAGACTCATTCCAAGGATTAGCCTGAGACTTGAGGAAAAGCAGATCTGTGGCTGTTCATGGATGTCTCCTGAGGTTTCCATGAATTACACAGCCCTGCCTGTCCTCAGGGAAGCTGGTGGCCATACACAGTTACTTTGCAAGATCTGGGGATGAGGGGAGGTGATTCTAGTTACATGATAAAAGCTGAACTGCGGCTCCCACTTTCACATTCCTTCTCTGTTGCTTAAAAAGAAGAAAAAGGCCTTTTTGTTGCTTTCCAGTTTTCTGCCTTGCCCCAGTGCCAAGTTTCTTAGCAATGGCCCTGGCCTTTCTGCACTCCTGCCACCGCTAATCTGTTTCCTGCTGTCTTGCTGGACAGGCCTCCCCTCTTGCTGTACTGGCCCTTCATCAGGTGGGACGCAATGTCTGGAGCAGCAGGTTTTGTGCCCTGGCTGCAGCTAAAGGAATATCTTAGTGACCCGTGAGAAGGCACTGGGCAGCTTTCTGGTCAGAGTGGACAAAAGGCCCTTAAAGCCCAACTTCCAAAATGAGAAACACTTTTCCCTTCCATAATGCTCCCTGGAAATCACTTTCACTCGCCGGCAGGAAAACGGGGGGAGTTCGGGCTCGTTGATCTTCCTCAGATTGCAGTGTAGGTGCCAAGTGTTTCCGTGCAGTTTCCTGGCTGCACCGCAGCGCTGCCGGGTTCCCTCAGCAGCCGCGGAGCGGGCCGGGCTCTGCCGCGTGTCAGAGCCAGCCAACGCGCAGGGACAGGCACGTGTGTGGTACCTGTGTGTTCCTCTGGCTCTTAGCAGTGAATTCGGGTGGGATACAGACTTCAGCAGGGTCACTGCTCCCCTTTTCGCAGTCCCTACCCCTTCAGGAGCCCCCTGGGTTGATGACACGCTGCCATTTCCAGCTGCTGTCCTCCCAGTGGGCGATGGATATCACCAAGGACGTGTGTCTTGCCGGCATTAATCAGTTTTGACTTTATTTTGCAGGGCTAGAGTCCAACCACATTTTTTTAATTGAGGGGGGAAAAAAAAAATCCATTGAAGCGACACAGAGGATCTCATTAGTCACCACTGCCATTGGGAGCTGGAGGGCGCCGCATCACTGACCAGGCCGCGGGTTGCGAGGGGAGAGGCCGCCGCACCAGGCCGCACAGCAGGACACTTGGCTCTTCGACTCAGTCACATTCCCAGCAGAAACAGCCGCCTCCCCGTCCCTCCCTCCCTGCGAGAAGCAGGAAAGCGGGAGCGGAGACTCCAAGCTTCCGCGGCCGCCTTAGATGACGCTAACGTGCGGATGGTGCCAAGCGCGAGGAGCGGACGTCACGCGGCAGGGACGAGGACAGCTTCACAAGCGAAAGAGATACTGCAGAATATTTGAAATATCATAGGGGTAGACGTGAGGGTAATAGCACTTTTCTGGTTTGGGGTTCTTTTTGTTTTGGGGGTTTTACTTCCCTTTTTTTTTTTTTTTGGACTATGAATCTAACATTTTTAAGGCTTTTTGACAAAAAAAAAAGTGAGGTTTTCTTCATTATTTCCACAGGAAGTGCAGGAATGTTGAGTGAGTATGTTGGATTTCAATCACAGGAGAAATATGGAAGAAAATTATCAAATGCTGGTTGAATGAACTGGAGAGTAGATGGCAAAATCGCAAGCTGTATAATCTGCTTTTAGAGTAAACTATATCAATCACACTGCTATATTATCATTATAATCTGGTGTACAATACTTCTGCCGTTTGAATTCTGTAATGGCTCTGTTTTTACTTCCACATAAGAAAACCAGTTTATTGACGGTTTCAGTGTCCCCAGTTCAGAAATCTCTGAGAAATGGAGTTGGCTGGCTTTTTATTTTCTTTTTCTTGAGGACTGCAGTAAGGAGCTCTTGCATATTACATGTGCCAGTGTTGCATTGACAATGATTTAATCTTTAACATTATTTCTTTTGCTGTAGCTGTTAACACGTCAGAGGAAGGAAACGAGAGCTTTTTTGTAGAATGTTTTATTTCCACACTATAAACTTTAGATGAGTCTATCATTTATGTTCAGTAACTTGATCACTGTTGGATCCATGTTTGCTTTGAGCTATAGATCCTGATGAAAAATGCCACAAAGGGAACTGGCTTGGAGTTTTTTCTTTTTTTTTTAATCATCATCATATTTTATTTGTTGCTGTGGTTCTGTTTTGAGATTACACATTGCAGTTGGTGTGAAAATCATCCGTGTGCAAAGGATGATTTTCATCATCCTTTCTCATCATCTCAAAGTGCTGGCGCCCGCGCTCTGTAAGGAAGAATTTTTACCTCTTGAGAACATACTCTGCATATTACAGTATCTAGAAACGTTGTGGACTAAATGAGCTCAGAACACTGATTTTCTGCAGGCATTGGTCAAGGAAGGGCAGGAGGTGAGGACAGGAAGCGCGTGTCTCCTTAGCCTCAGAGATGCCTTTTGCCCATTTTCTTTGGTTGCCGTTATCCTTTGGTTGCCACATTTACTCCTAAACAGCATCCTAAAAACAGTGCAACTGGAAAGCACAGTTTTTTAATCTGGCAAATGTCATTTGGGTTTTTTAGTGCCTGCCATTTCCTTTGTACTTAAAAAGGGGAAATAACAACCTCACCTCCCACAAAATATTACTGTAATAGTAAACACCTAAATTTTTTTGTAAAAAAATTTAAAAACTTTTTTTAAAAAAAGGGCAAGTACCAAGAGCTTTGTATCTTCTTGAGTATATTAAAAATTTGACATGAATACATATATATAAATAAATAAAAATATCTATATATCTATATATATATATTGTTATGCAGAGGATAGGTTGACAAAACCATGTTAAGTAGTTTGCAGGAGAAGGAAGCATTTGTTGATTCAGGGAAAAAGGCTGATGCCAGAAGCTGTCAGTGATGTGGATGATACATATGCTCCTTCACCCCCTCCATTTCCTGACCTTCATCTTCCAAGCACGTTGCAGTGGTCACTTCTAGATCCTAGGGAAGGTGTAAGTTGCTGGGAGCAAACTAAGATAGCAAAGATTTGTCTTTTCACCTGCATGAGGGTCCTTTTGAGCCAAAGATGCTCAGCGGATCAAGGGAAGCAAAGAGATATATCTGTGATTATCTGCATTTGTGTCAGGGGCAGCATCTCTCTGTGTGTAGACATAAAGTGTGGCAACAAAACCAGATTCATAGTTCGACTGTATATTCTATCAATGGTGCTCTTTTCATACTTGTTCTGCCAATACGCGGAGACCCTTTTAACCAAGCTACACAGAAGAGTTTTATATCACTATTGGTTATGTACTTGGTGTATTCTTTTTGTATATGAAAGGATTTTTTTAAAAACGTTCAGTAATTAGCAATGGAACCTGGTTTGTAGCTGATTAGAACAGTGTAAGAGAAGGGCCGTGCTGTCAGTCTGTCCCTGATCTACTTCGATCCATATATTTACCAAAGGAGTCTGAGCAAAAGTTCACTTAAAATAAAGACCTGACTGTTGAAAGGAATCTCTGCTAAGACTTTGTGATTTAGTTATTGTACAACTGTCCCAAAGCCAGCAAGAGGTAACCAGAGAAAACCACAGGAGGGAGGCAGTGATGGGACTAGAGGCTGACTGTCCACGGCCTCCCGTGCCAGCTCTGTGGGTCATAGTGGGGCACTGTGGTGACGCTCGAAGTCTGGACTGGAATCTACTCTGACCTCTGTCATTAATAGGCCAGTCTTAAAGCCCTGGAGGAGTATTTGAGAAGTGAATCTGGATCCTATCCCAGAGTTGTTTTTGTGTTTATACTGCATCCCGCGATACGCAGACCTCCCTGTCGGGGTGGATGGAATTGGCTGCCGGGTTCGTTGTAGCAAACGGCTCCTCTTTTCCTCGGTGAGTGCTCATGGCAATGTGGTTCACTGCTACAGAAGAGCAAGGGGTAGGTATGCCAAGAGGTGAAACATCAAGTCTGTGTTGCCAAGACTTCTCCTGGGATCACATTTCTTTACCCCCCACTCCTTCCTGTGCCTCAGAACAAGGATTAATTCCCAAGCATGTAGCAGTAAGCGGTAGCCCATCAACTGCGCTGCAGTGATTTGCTCTTCTCCCCAGGCTGCTGTTTGGAGAGAGAGGGAAGACGGTGGTGGCTGTACATGAGACTGTCACTTGGTACCGTCAGCCCGCCAGCCAAAGTCCAAAGAGTTTTGAAGCTGGTGAAATCGCCAGTGCCCCTCGTATCTGCACCCACGAGCTCACTTGTGGGAGCCCTGGTGTGGTGTGTGCCCTCACCCGTCCTCTCCCCTTGCGCGTGCAGTGCGTCTGGGCTGCTGGAGTTGTTCTGGGATGTGGGTGAATGGACCAGTAAACGTTGAGCTTATTTTGGCAGCAGGGATTGCATGTAAAGAAGGGAAGGCGGCTGTGTGTGCGTGTGTGTATGTGGCTAAAGCTGCAGTAGGGCCTGTAGCTCCTGCTCCAGGCGGGCAGCTCGTAGGGCTCAGGTGTGTGTGACCTCCTCCTGTTGGCTCCACTGTGCAAACACAAGGAACCTGCCAGTGAAGGGCTGGCGTAGAAGGGATTTTTATCTACAGAACTTTAATGGGAAGGAAGGTTGTGGAAGGAAGACACGGAGTTGCAGCGCTCCTGCGAAGAGAAGGGAATCGGTTAGCCCAGTGAGGGCTAGATAACACGAGGGAGGGAGGAGGCTTTGGAAGGCAGATAACTGCAGAACTTTGTTCCCTAGGAGGTGACTTGTACATCTCCTAAGCGTCTTTACTCAGTTGCGAAGTTTGTTTTTTCTTTAGGAAAAAAAAAAAAAGAAAAAGAAAAAAGAAGAAAAGATGAAAGGAAGAACGCTAAGGCACTAATGTCAGTGGGGTTGTTGCGAGCCAAGACTCCATTATGAAGCTTCAAGCTGTGTGTGTGGGCAATAGTGACAAGGCTTCCCAGGTGTGTGTGTGTGCAGAATCCAACAGCTTGGGCAGCTACAGGTCCTGATCCCCAAAACAGCTGCCTGTCCTAGTTCCGTTCCTGGTGCGCTCAGGTGTGCGGCTTCTGACCGCTTCTGCATCACGAAAGCAAATCTTGTCTCCTTTGCAAAGACATCATCAGGAGTGACTTGGGGCTAGGAAGTGACTCGTGATAAGGGACGCACCGGAAAAGCTGGGAGTTGTGTGCTTGTTACAGCAAATTAGTAGGTCCTTGCCAGCTCTAATGAGTAGCTTTTAGTGATGTTTTCTAAACATACGAGGCTTATGCTTGGCAAGCTGGAAGGTGGTGGGTTATCTTCCGCTACTTGCCTTAAAGCTGAGCTCATAGGGCTCAGCTGCCTGTGAGAGAAACATCTTAAACCTGTAGCGTAGGCAAAGCTCCTGAGGCCAAACGGGCGCCTTAGAGGGCAGGTAGAGTCTCTTCTGCTTTCTAACTGCTCACTCAGCGAAAACTACAGTGTGCCAATATCTTCACTCCACAGTTTTGTGCCCTTGGGTTTGGTCATGCTCTTACGCATTTTGAAGGTGTTTATATAGGCATAGCTTCTCACAAAGTTTGAGTTGATGCCGCTGAAATCTGATATTTCCTTATCTTTGACAAAGAAATTCTCTGATTTATTGGTATAGTAACTAACCTAGTACAATAAAGGAAGGTATTATGAACCTCTCTTTTCTTTTTTTCTTTTTTTTTTCTCCTCCTGTCTTAAGTTTTACATTGGGGTAGGATAACCTGAAGTCCAGTTGCAAGGTGAGGAGAAGGATAGTGAAGATACTACAAGGCCTGCCAATCTGGTTTTTATTGTTCAGAAAAACAAAATAACTAGACTAAGAAGCTTACTGGTAATTAGTAGCTAATGTGTTTGTAACTATCATGTGCCTTAAAATTTTCATGGTAGGAGAATTAAAAAAAATCAACAATGTGTTTTCTGTAATACTGCTCAACATTCTCTCTCTGTAGTTTAGACTGGTGGGATTTTGCATTGTATTTACACTGTACTATAAACTGAAACACTTAGAGTGGTTTGATTTTACGAGTATGGAGGGGAAGAAAGGCGGATTATGCTTTTCATAGAACAAATGTTACCGTGACAGAATGTATTATTATTATAGGACCTTTCCATAACACAGACAAGTAGAATGCTTGTTAGAAACCAGGTATGTAGGATAACAATTTGGTGTGTTTTCAATAAACCATGCCTGGAAAGAATACCCGTGCCATTGGTTATCTTTGTTGTTGTTGTGACATTAGGTATTGCAAATATTCTTTGCCCTGATGACAGCACTTTTCTGTGGCAGGGGATTATTCAATCCTAGCTCAGGTCAGCACTCAGAGTGTTAGTAAAAGCTCAGTGGTAATGAGGGCAATTGAAATATCCTTTAAACCAGTAGAGCTGGAAATTGTGATTCATTGCCATATGTTGTTGTCATAGCATAAAAGCCCTGTAAGGACTTGGAATGGTAGATCATGGTTTGTTTGTTTGTTTTCCTTTTTAATATACAAGAGTATTTCTGCAGGAGAGACAGCTGTGTCACTGTTCAAAGGTCTGCACGTTTGGCACCGGAGCACAAGCTGAACTCGCTGATGACTTTTCCACCTGGGAAGCTATTGACATTTCCCAACTTGGTCATAAAAGCTTTGTGACTTTACAAAGAATTCACGTCTCTCAAACATGTGCAAGTACACTCATAAATACGAATGTGTAAGAATAACAGAAGTTTATTGGAACTCTGCATGAGATTTGGTTGAAATGAGAAAGTGGTATTTTTGGGATATGCCAAATAATTTAATTTTGCTGCTGTGATGGGGGGAGGAATCAGATCAAGTAAGAGGCTCTGTTCTGGTCAATTCTCCTGAGGAGTGAGTCTGTCAGGCAGGTTCAGTGTGTTGATCAGATCAGTGTGGAGACCCATGCACCCAGACATGGGACGTTTCCGTTCGTCATGAAGGAAGACAAAACCCAGCAAAGCCTGTGAACCCGGTCACCTCGTAAAGACACTAAAGACAGTAACGTGTTGTTGCAGGTGGCACGGAGGCCGGCTCTCGGCAGCGTGCTCATGCCTCGCGGTGCCCTCGGCGCTGCGTGGCTCCGTTTAGCGTGGCTGCTTGCAGCCAGGCCCTCTCCAGCCCTCCCTCGTTAGGGCAGATGTGCACAGACATTAGCTAAAATCATCTCCGGGTTCTGTCCTTGCGTTGGGAGCATCTAGTTCCACAAGTAGGATGGGGGCTCCTGCACTTGGCATCTCACTCCTAGCCATCCCTGGCATTCTGCTGCAATGGGGAATCTGGTTTTCTTTCTTCATGGATGCCTTAATCTGGCAATGAATAGTAGATGCTGTAGGTAGGATACCGAACTAAAGCAAATACGTTGTTTCTACAAGTGACCTTTATAGCTGTCAGAGTGATTTCATTTCCACCTCATCACAGCCTGGGCAAACGGAAGCAATGAGTTCCACAGGTGAAAGGTTAACCTGGGAACAACAGGCATAAAATATCACAGCCCTCATCTATTTCAGGTTTCAGCAGTGTCTTGGGGGAATATTCTGTCCCCATGACCATGTTCCCTGCTGTTTCCTACAGTGAAGATCTCTGTGCAACTAAAGCTCAGCAGTGGCAAATCCTCACTGTGGTACAAGCTGGCAATGGAGGATTTGTTACAGTGGAAGTTGTTTTATGGCCGTGAACTGAGCCGTGGGGACAGGCAATGACAGTGAGATTCTCTACTCAGGTTCAGCGTAGCGCACAGCAAACACAGCAGCCTCTAGTGCCTTTGTAAGCAAAGACTCGATTCACTTGCTCGAATCAAGCAAATGAGAATACCTCACTCATCAGGTGTTGTCCTCTTCAGTGGGGAACTGGGATCCTGACGGTCTCTTTGATGCTCTCATAGGGGCTTCAAAATGTTCAGTTCACTGGATCTGGCATTTGTGACTTGTCCCACATTCATCAGTGGGTGCTATCACGGAGAGGAAGCAGCGTCTCCTGTACAGACCTACCCTAACTGCTGTTTGCTCTGAGGGGTAATTTCTCTCTAGGGATTGCTATCTGGGTGCCCTTATGCTCAGTGTGGTATTAACTTAGGAAGCTAAAGGGACTGCAGCTGGGTTTGACTTCATCGTGAACCACGATTTAAACAATCAGTTGAATATTTTAAGAGATGGCCTCACATCTCTTTGTAACAGAGAGACTGGCAGAAACTGAGCTTCACTATCATGTATTGCCTGAACCAACAAAACGAGCCAGATAGTAGTTGCCTCTAGAGAATAAATCTCAATTAGCAGTATCTGGGAGGATCCACAATTTTTGACATGAATTGTGAGAATTTGCTGAAGGATATGTGTGTTTTTGGAGGGATTCTTTATATTGGGAGTTTGCACTGTTTCATATCTGTGTTGTGCAAGTTGTCTTCTAATTGCTATGGACTGACACTGTAATAACACTCAGTAGGTTTTAAGAATATATCTAAATTCCTTATAAGACTCATTGCCTACTTTTTCCTCTCCCAGTATTCAAAGCATGACTTTATTTTGAAAAATAACTCTTCTCCCTGGGAGTTTTCACATTTATGTGTCAGTGACTCCAGATCTTATTTGCTCCGCTGACCAAAAGGCTTTTTTCTAATTACCAGTCATGCAAACTCTGTCAAGCTTTTTCCTTTTCATTCCTTGCCACCAATAATTACGAGCATTTCAGAAGTGTGGTCAAGTTGAAAAATTTTTCCTGCATGTGAGATTTTGTAAATAATCTGATGATACACAGGCTTTAAAAAAAAAAAAAAAATGCCTCTCTTGTGGGTGATCCTGTCTAATGAATTAAAATGCCTTTTTTTCCTGCTAAAAGGTGACTGTTATATATATGCAAATATATTACATGTGTTATTCACTAAATCATCTTTTGAAATATCCATGCTAACTGAAGAGGTTCCCTCCTTCAGTGCTTCTCTTGATTGTCTCTCTGCAGTTTTTAGCCATGCAGAATGGTGTTAGCTAATGGTGTTATGCAACTTTCCTTTCTTTTCTCATCATGTATCGATGAGGCTTTGGTCAGTGTACCAGTAAATATGCAGATTTTCCAGTGTTCTCCATGAACTTGTGCACACCAGTAAATGGATTTCACTGTGACTTTTTTTTGAATATTTTGCAAAGACTATCTGAAATCAGCAGAGGAACTTTGGTCCAGCAGCGAGTTGAGCACAGATACCAAGAGGAAACGCTGCTGAGCAAACCTGCAGAATAGATCACTGCCTCATTTCACAACATGAGACGGAGGCCTCAGAACACAGGGATTCCTCCTACACAGCACGACACAGCCACGAGGGACGACTTCTTCACAGGCTGATTCAGCACAGTAAATTTTGTCTTCCTCAACTGTGATAGAGTTTAAATTGTTAAAGAAACCCCAGTAATTTTCCATCCTCATATCCCTGTGAAATGTTAGCTTGACAAGGTGGCTGGGTTACTGTGTGTGTTTGGGCCATTCCTGACCTGACCCTGTAATGTTAGCTTGCTGTAGTTTTCTTTTATATTGGATAAAAATTCCCTACCATGCTTTTTACTGATGTCCTCTATTTTCTGTAGTACCCAGGCTAGGATAAATAAGACTTCAGTTAAACAGTATAAAAGGAAGTGGCTTATTACAGGTCTGTAAGAACCGTACATCCATAATCCATAATAGAAATCCCAAATTTTCACTGTTTTTCAACTGTTGGGTCTTTCTGGGACTGTTCCAAGCCTGGAAATCTCAAGTGCAAAGCAAAGCTCATCGAACGGAAGGAAGGTAAGAAGTCACGTGTCGGCCTTTACTATTTTTACTTATAAATGTGAGAGAGTTCTCATTACATAATGACAAGAAGACATGCCACAAAATGCCAGTGGATTGCTGCCCTGCTCGGGTGCGTGAGAGACTTCAGGGGGGCTTTGTATCTTCGCAGTGGTGACACTTGCTGTCAATGCAGCGCTCGGCGGCCGCACTCGAGTTAACCAGGGGGTGAAGACGCAGCCTCCCCGCCGTCAGCGTGGTGCAAGGTCACAGCACACACGCTGCTCCAGGTACAGTAAGCAGTATACATGCTATGGATACACTGTGTAACAAGGAGGCAAGTAAATGTAACAATCTCAAGGTTTCAGTCATTTTATGTAACTCTGATATTCTGTTCAAAAGAACTTACTTAAGAATGCACTTAATTCTTCACTTCCCCATGCCTCCACATGTGCAGGTTAATGATCTTTTTTGCGTTGCCTTCTGCAAAATTCTGGTTTATTTTCTCATCTCTGCATGGGTCTTTCTTCTTTCAGCATATAGATAATTTTCTGCAGCATGCAGATGATTAACTTTTGCAGTAACTATGCAAAAATGTATCTGATACCACTATAGGAGCCTTCATTGCATGAAGTGGCATGCTGGTAATTTAGCAAAATCAGTGTTTGAGATGTTCTTTTCTTCCACCATGCATGCACTGTTAATCTTGATCATTATTAGTCAGTTTAGCTTTGGGAATCAAGTTTACACAACTTGCAGTTACTTTCTCTACCCCATACCCATCCCAAACTGTGCTGGCTTGGGTTTGAGCTCAACGTAACAGACTGTTCAGTCAAGGCAAAGCAATGGACATCACCATGGTTTGCAGAACCATGTGAAGCAACAGAAACAAGTCTTTGAGCAGTTACCCTACTTACACACTCCAGATCATAATTTCCACCTGGCCTAAAATGACTTCCACTATCGCTTGCTTTAATTAAAGGCTCCAAAAGACAAAAAAGCAAAATTTAAAGCATAGACAAGTTAATCTGTGCAGTTGCATTTACATAATTTGAACCAGTAGTTGAGTATTAATGGCTTTCTTCATCCCAAAAACACAGCCTTTTCCATAGCATCCTGCACTGCCATGTATTCCAGACGAGATGGGTAGTTAGTGCATTGGAAATGGGGATTGTTGCGAATGTATTTAAGGAATTCTGGAGCTCCTGGGCAGATTACATTGTCAGCCAGAAGAACTGTGCCCTTCCTCAGCAAGTTGCACTCCTAGAAAGAAGAGAAATTGCTTCATGGTGATGTTATGTGGTTATGGGTTTGGATGTCACATTCTTTAGACATTTCCTACGCAAGAGCCTGCATCCAAAAAAACACAGCACTCTCCTTTTGGAGGGTAGAAAAGACAAGGGAGAAGCTGAACACTCTCTATCCAATCTTCAGTGGCTGTATTTCCTACAAGGACTTTTTCTGCCAACGTAATCGGACGAGCATTAGTGATGCTGACAAGCTGTTGAGTCATGCAGGTTTTGAAATAACAAACCAAGCACAGTGCATGTATGCAGTTAGCTGCTCATATTGTTTCTAACTATGTCAAAGTGGTTACTATGACAGGTCTGTCTTGGCTTTGATGCCTAATGGTTGAAGCTTTCCTTTTATATGGTATTAAAATGTTGTTGTAGCTATTAAGGCCACTTAAGAGATTGGTGGGTACTGGACTGCTTTGGCCAATCCTAGTCAAGTCCCAAAATCAGGAAAAAAAAACACTTTTCTGAGCTGCTTTTTCTCTTTTCTTGTCCAACCCTCTGCTATTTTGTTCAACAACAGGGCATGAAATATGGTTTGCATGCAAGGAAGATCAATCGGACTAACTTCCAGAGGGCATAATTAACTTGCAGTATTTACTTGAAGTTCAGTGCTTATCCTCAATAAACCTACAAGCATATTTTTTCTGGTATTTTCTGTCTAATAGAAGTTGCTTATCTGAGCTCATCAGCTAATTTAGAACAGAGAAAGCCTGTACTTAATTAAGCAGGTTGTTACGTGGTGGCTACCGGCAGCAGGCAAAGCTGAAACATGGTGTGGTTTTTGTCACTACCAGTGTATTAGAGCATTCCTGTGCTGCGGAGGCTGTGTAGCTTGCTGCTCTCACCTCTGGTGACTGCACACCAGTCAGCACAGTAGAAGTTATGTTAGAGACATGGCAAATATCCTCTGGTCTGCTTCTACTGTGCAGATTAGAAGCCTGTGAGTGACAACACGCTGTATTTCCCACCAGTCATCAGGATTTCCGACGCTCTCTGTGCCAGGCTTTTTTTAGAACTGCATGAAGAGGAATGCTGTCTGGGGCGCTTGGAAAACACGCCAAGAATATGAGTTAGAGAGAGGGCTTGTGACATCTGAGAAGATGTGGGGATCTTCATCTTTCTGCCCTGAAATTCACAAGGTTTTTTTAAGCAAAGCAACTTCGTGCCACATCTGCATCGGAGCTCTTTGTGCCAGGCTTTTTTTAGAAATGCATGAAGAGGAATGCTGTCTGGGGCACTTGGAAAACACGCCAGGAATATGAGTTAGAGAGAGGGCTTGTGACATCTGAGAAGTGGGGATCTTCATCTTTCTGCCCTGAAATTCACAAGGTTTTTTTAAGCAAAGCAACTTCGTGCCACATCTGCATCGGACTATTCCTCTAAGATGGAACTAACCTGGCTCTTACCTGTTTGCTTTGGCTGTATTGTGGCAGTTCAGCTCTGATAAGGATGTGCTAGCTCTTCCCAGTGGAAAGAGATCAGTCATGAACACACAGCCAGTTTAAAAGCAAACATTCTTGGGTAAACATTACAAAGTAATTGGGGGAGGGGGACTTTACTAATGTGTAAATTCAGTGCTGCTTGTTCATAATCCCAAACTAATCCTCTCTTCTTTGAACAGCCTGGACAGTGATGAAATTAAAAAACAGGAGAGCTTCGATGAGAAAATAGTGTTTGTAGTCCTGAAACAGAGTAAGGACATAGAGAGTGGAGAGACTTGCTGTTTCTGAGTGTAAAGAGCAGCCTAAAGAAGTGGATTTAATGTAAAAATAATTATTGAAAAAATGGCCCTTTCAGCCAAACAGGCAATTTTTAAAAGTTTTATCAGCTTGCAACTCCCAAACTAGGGGAATATCTGTGTGTCTAGTCTTTATAGATACAGATGTTCTGAATTTAAACACTTGCAAATATCTTCCCATCCCGAATTACTGTAGTGTACAGTTATCTCATTTTTAATGCCACCAACTATTGCCTACTGCTGTTACAGCCAACTGATTTTGTACAGATAACAGGAATGGTTAAGAAGGGTTGGGAAAAATGAGCAGAATCTTTCTTCAGTCAGGACTGGAGATAGAGTTGGACTAACAAGTGCCTGACTAGGACAGTCTGCACTCTCCCAGAGTCTGCATTACAGCCAATTCATTAGGGGGAGTTAAGGCCTCTAGAAAGATAATAACCAGCTATGCTACTAAAACCATTTCATCAAGAAGCTCTGCTGGCAGCACAGCCCAGGCAGAGGTGGAGGAGTTGATACTCAGGAAATTAAAGCAGCAAACATGCAGCTCCCGAGTCTGGCCTGCTCCCAGGTCCAGGATGTTCGGGTCAAGTGTTTTGGTTAGTGACCATGTAGAGACTCCCTTCAGGGAGAGAAATTCCCAGACACTGTGCTTCTCCTGTAGACCCATTTGGTCAGGAAAAAAAGTATTTGTAAAGTCATGAGATATACATTGTGGGTGTGAGAAAGGTTGGTATTCTGTCCCCTCTATCCTTTCTCACAATTTTGCTATTATACCTGCCAATTTTCATTTTACAGGATGAGGCCCTTGATAAAGCATACAGGCCTCACCAAAATCCAGGCATATGCTGCTTTATTTTTAGGGCTGGAATTGTGTAAACTCACCTGGAGCAGGATGGTGTCTGGTGCATATCTGTCTTTCCAGTGGTCAAGAAAGACAAAATCCAGAGTATCCACTTCATGTTTTTTCTTCAGCTGAGGGATAAGTTCCTCTGAAGGGCCTTCAAGGATGTTCACCTGTAATGCAAATCCATCTGATGTATTGTGGACCATTAAGAAAGAGCACATGCTTCTAGCTCTTAAGTTGTGGCCAGACATAGTTCAGTACAACCTGAGCTATTTGCTAGGGCTAGGTCACATGGACTTCTTTTAACAGATTGACTCAATTATGTTGCAAAATATTTTTTCTCTGTGATATTTTTTAAAATGTGTGACCTTGTTTATGTTGGATAAAGTGCCTCTCTATGGCAACACAGTAGTCTACTGCTGAAAACACAATTTGTATTAGCTTGGCATTTTCATTGCATCTCAGCTGCCGCCCAAGAAGATGCAGAGAACAGGCCTGTTTAGAGCAAACCTGGAGGCACCAGTATGTAAGATAAATATGGCCAGTAGAATGAAAAGGCAGGAACAAGGCTATTATATGTGCCCCACAGGTTTGTCAGCATTAAGCACTGCTCAACTGAAAGAAGCCACTATTACTGATTTGTTAAGTAAGTACCATATACTGTGGGTAGATGAAAGAAGGGGTAAGAAAATATGACTGGTTTGTGACTCGCAAATGATCAGAAGATTAACTCAGATGGGGAAATGCAATTTGAGATGTTGCTACTGCTTCAGGTTCTCTTTTCTGCATTAGAATATCTTACAGTGGCATTCATTGCCTCTGTTTTTATAATTTAAAAGCAACTTGTTCATATCGTCTGGTCAACAGAGACACTTCTTGGGCATGAATCCTCTGACCTGCTATAGATGCCTGCCTGGGGCTGAGGTAGATTATAGACAGGAAATTCCTGGATCTCAGCTGACTGTACAGGGAGTCAAGACATTGCAGGCTGCCCAGAATACAGGTGTCTGCAATGTGACTCTCAGGAGTTGAACAGGTACAACTCCTCTGAAGCATTAACACCACTGCACATAAGGCAGCTGCTTCCTGTGACATTTTCTAACAAGTTAGACTGTGGTTCAGTTTTCTGTCATACTCAGTGTTGACACTGATTTCAACAGCTTGGTTTATGAGCAGGAAAGTAATATTCTAGTCTAGCTTTTGTGGAGGGTGACACAGTGAGTTATTCAGTTGTACTCCTGTGAGAGGCCAGAGAGCCTAAGCTAGGCAAGAAGCTGGTTAAACAAATTAGTACTGTTGGTGCAAGAATAAGGGCAAACAAAATAACCATTCTGGAAATCATAAGTTTCTGAGCATCAGCAGGGACGAGTTTGTGGGTAGTTGCATAACAATAGCAAATCTAACCAGTTTTGCAAGAGTGACTGCTAATTTTAAGAAGATGACTGTAAGCTGATGCCCCGTGACTATAACAAATGAAATATTGACCCAGGAGCTCCTCCAGACCTGTATTCTTACAGTCACTGTGAGTTGTGATAACAGCCCCCAGTGAACCGCCAGCAAAAGGGCTACTGCAGTAACCACTGAACAGGAAAGAGGACAAACAAGAAGATGAAGCCTAAAGGCTTTCACATGTTAGGAGACTTGGATTTAAGCAACGGGTTCTGCCCTTGTGTCTCTGAATCCTCATTCTGACTCAGACAGCAGATAATCTTGGAGCCCTGGACATTTTGGTTCCATCCATCGAGTCTTGACAAGTCCAAAACTCTACCCTGATCCCCCTGCTGAGTCTGAGCCATGCCTGGGTCCCTGACTGCTGTAATTCATTTAGCTCGCTCACAGTGTATATGCAAAAGAGCAAACTACCTTGGTTTTCTGCATGGAAACCTTACAACTGCACCAGTTTTCCCTGCTGTCAAGCCTGTCTGTTAAACTCTCTTTGCTCCCAAACATTTAGGTACTTGCTTGACAAGTAGAATAACAATTTAAACTTATCATTGCTGTTTCTTTGGATACGTTCCCATTTTCTATGCATCACCTGCTCATGCCAACCACAGACAAATGGTGTTTACCTTATCCTGTACTCCAGCAAACTCGATCATCTGTTTAGCGATAGCAGCAAATTCTGGGTTGAACTCCATAGTGAGAAGACGAGCACCAGCCTTCAAGAGCCGAGCAATCCTCACTGCCGAGTAGCCGCAGTACGTTCCCAGCTCCAGAACAACTGAAGGGTTGACCTCCTCCAACACCTTGTCTAGAATTTTACCTGAAAAAAAATGGAAAGGGGTTAACTTTTGACAAAACCGAACTGGATCACATACAGAAGGGTAAGATAGTGGTGGGAAAAAAAAAAAAAGATTTTTTTTATCTTTTAGCTAATTTTTAAAAGGTATTTGAGGACATTTTTCTCTATCTATTTTCTAAGCATATATCTGCATATTAAGTGTTTTTTTTTTCTTATGGGTCACTTGTTTATGAATAATACAATGTGCTACCACCCACATTTGAACCTATATGGTCACTCTGGAATTAAAGATGCATTGACTTTCTACAGCTCATGTAAAGAAAAGTCATCTCATCAGAGAAAAACTAGAGTAAATCTTTTAGGAATATAATAGCAAGTGATCTAAGTTTAGAGCATTAACAATTCCTGCTTGGCCACTGTATGCTGTTCTGTTGCCCTAGGCACCCCAGCGTGTATGCAAAGGAACTGAATTCACAAAATGTACCCATGACATAAGAGCATTTTTATTACAGTGCTTACAGTTGTGTTTCATTAGCTATGTTAATCCTAGACTAAATGAATTCCTCTAACAATTTCCCACCAGAAAGTATAATACTGTAAGGAAAGCTTTTGTATTTAATTCCAAGGGAATATGTTAACATTTTGCCATTACAGTTTTATGAAAAGACTCCATTTTGAAACCATGGATAGACTTCCCTGTATCTAAGAAAAATAAAACAGCTTGTTCTAGGAGATGAGAGCAAGACAATTTACTGGATAAGCAGAAGTAAAGTCTGATAGCTGCTGCTGTGTATTACATGGGTGGGATCTCCCCCTTCAAAAGTGTGTTGTCTTTAACTTGTTTGAAGGTACAAAATTCATGTGGTTTAAAATACTTTACTTTTCTTATGTAGCATCTTTCAGTTAAAAAATCTTGTTATGCCTCAAAGCCACCCTGTGTGGGAATTAAGGAACAATGTAGCTCTAGTTTCCCACAGTTACAGCACACAAAACACACAATAAGATTTAGTCCCATGACTTCTGCATCTCACTAGAGACCCATTCCTCAAGACAGACATGCACAAGCACGCATTACTGTCTGCAGAATTATTTTGCTGGCCACAAAGAGGCAGTGGCTGTGTGAATTCAGTAACATGGCCTGTACTGCACTAGTTTCAAATGATATTTCAAGATATCCTAATGCAATTACCTTTTACACTGCCCACATTCATGGCCCACTCTTTCTCGGAGCAGTACTTATCTATAGTGTCCACGACACTAGAGGGGTCTCCTCTGACTGCATTCTGCAGCACAAAATTTAAAATCCTCTGTTCTTTGCTTTGATTCATGATGAAGTTGGTTATATTCTCGCGGATTATTTCATTCCAGAGAAGGGCAGCAGTGCCGTTTCTCTTGATGAGCACTGTGAAGAGGAGCAGAAGGAAGAGCACAACCAATACAATGAACAAAAGGCTTGAAGAGCTCTCCAGCATCTGGAAAGAAAGAGGAAAAAACAGCACAGGGTTAAGGTGGCACAGGAGAGAGCTAATTTTTTTTGTAAATATTAAGCTGAATAATCCACAGTGAACCATCCTGAACAGGAACACACTGAGTTTAATTACAACACTGTATAAAATAGCTGAAAATACTTCTCCGTGGCTCAGTGATGGGCAGTGCTCTGTGGCACTCCCTTTACAAGCTAATTCTACAGGCAGTCAACAAGTAGCTTTATTTAATGCTCTGCTCCCTTCCCCCACGCAGCTGCTCAGTCCTGCCTGCCAACATGCCGCTGCACAAGGAGGCTCTAATGAGCCCCAAACCTGTTCTAACCGTTTTTAAAGGATTTTAAAACTTAAATAATTAGACTCTGCATGTGATCTCACGCTAATCTTTGAGCAGTGGGAAACTTCTGAGCTAGCCTTGGCAAGAGAACAGAGAACTCCCCACCTTTGAATCTGGAGCTACCTTGCTGCAGCCCTCCCTGTTGGCCCCTGCCTTTCTGGCTCGCTGGATGGTTTGGGAGGACTCGAGCTGCCTCCTTCCTCGCAGCAGAGACTCGGGAGACTCGGCTTGCCGAAGATGGCAGCCTTTTCCCTACTCATTAAACCTCCGGCATAAACTACCCATGTGACACTTCTGAGAACAAAAAATATATATATATACGCTGAAGTAGGAATGTTTTCTCAATGGTTATAAGAATGCAAAGCTAAATGCCTGAAACAAAGAAATGTGCAGCTTTATGAAACTCAAGAGATGGAAGAGCACATGACTTTTCTCTGATGTGCAGGCTCTAATCATCTGATGGGATTGTGCCTGTTCTTCCCCTGAAATGCAGTGTCACCGCTGCAGGTTTTTGTGTGGGCGCAGCACAGGTACTGGATGCGTGTGTGCGTTCGTGTCTGTGAGCTCAGGGCACCCGAACAGAAAGCTCACCAGATGGGACACCTGCCACCCTGCACGGCTCGCGCAGTAAATCCTGTCAAAGCCATTTACTCTCATGGATTTCAAACAAGACAGCATACAGGATATGGAAGGTGCTCTTATTTCCATGCAGGAGTCTCAGCATGAAAGACCTGATAAGAAATGATTCTTAAAGATTTGATCTAGCCTTTGAGAGAATGCAAAACTAAGGGCTGTGACTTGCAGGCTGGGTGGGGAGCACAGGCTGGAAGGAGCTCTTGTCAGCAGCAGCAGCAGGAGTAAATGAAAGCTTCATTTTTTTCTTGAAATCCAGGCTGGTCTCAAGGATTCAGAAGCTTCTTTCATAACCATAGTACGCTGCCTTGCATAGGGCCAGTGTGGGGAGTTGTGCTGGTTTTAAACTATCATTTTTAAAGGACATGAGAATCAACTCTTGGGGAGTCTCTGTTTCCTCCTATTAAGTGTTTTTGTCTTCCAGCTTGTTAAATATGGTGAACAGCTTCCACCTGTGATTGTGTTAATGTTCCCCCTGCCTGAAATTCAGCAGAACCCCTGCTGCTACAGGAACTACAAGAAGACACTAAAAAGCTTTGCCTAAATTGCTAGAGACCAAAAGTGAAGCGCCCATTTGATTGGCCAAATATCTCCCTCAAAATCTCTTCCTGCCTCTTCTTACTTCCTTCTTAGTTTGTTTTCCCTTGAAGTTTATGAAAGATGGGGACGGTCTCTCCCAGGCCTCCAAATTCTGCATCTTCCCACAGAGCACTTGAGTTCGGAGCATGGCGGGGTTGCCATGGAGATGCGCTCGGCCTGCAGCGCCCACGACGTTTGTTTGACCCGGCCGCTCACCGCAGCTGCACAACAAGTACAACTTATCCGCAGCTTTTAAAAGACTATTTCTTCTGTCTTTGATAGTCATCGATGTTAATACTTGCCTTCCTACTATTTTCCTCACAGAAACTGATGCAAGACTCTTCCTCTCAGGGCTCACTGGTATCATTGGCACATGAAACTCAACCTTCTTGGGTTTTTCTGAGTTTTGTTTCCTAGACAGTTAGAAGCTTCCTCTGTGCTTCAGTAAGAATGTCAGGTTTGCTCCTTCCCTTCCCTGCTGACAAGTTGAATTATCCTGGGCCTTCCTAGATGGAGTTTCTGCTCTTTTCAGTCTCTCCACATGAAGTTGCTTCAAATCCACTGTTATTTAGGAGTTTGGCTTGGACTATGAAAAACATCATTGGTTTAACAGAAAAAAATATCTTTCTACTTGATGTCATTTGGCTCTCCTGGCTTATTTTTGACAGAATAGAGAGCTGAAAGTTATTTTGAACAGCAAATGGATGGACACCAGAAACCACTAACTGCTGCCAACGGATGTCCAACCTTCCAGACTTCAACAAGGGGATCTGCATGAGCCAGGGGGATCGGTGCCTTGAAAGTTGGACACTTTCAGAGCTATGAACTTTCCTGGTGATCTGAATCATTCCACAGTGTCTCCAGTTTTAACTCCCAGGTTACAGCAGATGTTTCTGAATCCGCTAAGTACAACCAATGTAGATTATTGCTTTGCCACTGTGTGAGGCTGTCCTTAAAGAGCTGCAAATAGCAAGAACTTTCCCCTTTTATTGCTCAGTACAGATGTAAGACAACTTGGTGGGATTTACAAAACAAGGAGCGACAGCAGTTGTAGATTAATCTTTAGAGCTACTTTTCATTGAACTCTATTAGCTCAGCCCAAGTCTCTATTCTGCACGAAAGCTAATGCTTTTTTTTTCTGATAGGAATCAGACTTTTGAAGAGCTGCCTCCACAGGTCTTCGGAGCTGAAATTTGGTCACTGGTAGCAAGAACCTACATGATTCATGTTGCCTTTTGCAAAGCCCTAGTTAGCTTCCTTGTTTTTGCTATGCTGAAATTTTGTTTCAATTATTAGGGATTTTATTGCTGTACAACACCCCAGCACGTTGATAAACTCACAATACAGGTTGTTCTTAACAATCCTCCTCTGAGAGGCAATCGTCTTAAAAGGTGAGTTTCCAGAGAAGGTAGGTTTTAAAACGAACAGAACAGAATGGTCTTATTTTGCCACCTTCTTTTCTTTCAAAAAAAAAAAAAGTCTCTTTTTCCAAGTTTAATCTCAAAACAATTTATGTCGTCTTGGATATGAAAATAAATGTAGTGATAGCACTAGACTGTAAAAGCAGTTTGTCAAGAGCAAGATGCATTGGTAGTGTTCATGTATCCAGAGGGAATAAACCTGTACCAAAATAGGTAATACTTTTCATATTCTTACCTGGCAACTATTTGATGTGAAAATGAAGTACATAATTCAACCAATTTAAAACTACCACTACATAAGAGACAGGCATGTTATGACAGCTTTAGAAAAATGCAACTGTAATTTTAGCTTTAATGTGGATCCATGGGATTCATTAAATATACAGTAAAACTGAACTTGTACACAGACAACTTTCCCACAGCCCCTTTACTATAAGGCAGCCGTTCCTATTATTTAATACTTGTTTTGAGGTTCCAACTACATGTTAGCACTGCAACCTCTTCCATGTGTTCAACGCCTTGATAAAGTGATCCTTCTCTTTGAAAGATAAAATCTGAAGTGGAAAAGAGGAAAATGTAAAATGGAGCAAGGTAATAAAGAGAAAGCTGGAAGGATAATATCATAGAAAGGGATGAATAACACACATCACTAAATCTGCCTTCAAGAAGACAGAATTTAGAATAAAATACATTAAATTTTCATGCCCAAACTTGTCAAACTACCATCAAGTCTTTCTAAAGCACTGGGTTCTTTTTCTGTCCATCTAGTCTTACTCATTTTTTCGGATTTCATAAAACCAAATCATGACTTGTTACTGCAATTCAGCATTTTTCCCCTGATGCTAATCTTAATAAAACAATTAGCATTTAAATGGGAGTATTTCTGTTCCAATTTTCAAAGATAAAAAACACACTTTCAAAGAAAGAAGCAAACACAAATTGTGGGAATCTGCTGCCCCAGCTCATTTACTGGTGAACACAGAACACGAAGGTTATTGCAGTGGCTTTAAAAGAAGTCCTAGGAGGCTGGTTCAGACTTAGGCATCTGTCATTACATCAAGAATTATAAAGTTAGAGAATTCCTGCCCCAAACTGTTACAGGACTTACAATTTTTTTCTAAAGATACATTAAAAATGCCCTTGTGATTCAGCACAAAAAATATACATTCTTTTTCTTTATTCTTGTAAAGATGATTCCTGCCATTTTACGAAAGGTTACAATAAGGCCTTTTAGTAATGCTATTTATCAGGAATTCTGCTGAATTCTTCCAAGCACTGTTTTAAAAAAAAGGGTCTTGGAACTCCCTAAAATTAAAAAGTAGCCCAATTGGTAGTATAATTTTTAAGGTAACTCCAGATGAAATTCAAGCTGAGATTTTTTTTCAGCGTTTCATAAAAATTGTATAGAGTCTTCCTATCAGTGTTAGGGGAAGATGTATGGGGAGTTAATCTAAACGGGTGATTGCTACTGTTTCTCTATTGCTTTCAAAAACAATATCTGTCTAGTAAAACTATTATTTTCTGATAAGAAAAATAAGCTGTTAATAGTAAACAGGTTAAATATTTTGATGTTTAATAAGGATAGATGTCTTAGTGAATCCGGCACTTAAGAGATTAAACAAGTAATAAATATGATTATTTAACTATTCTGAAGCTTGATATTATGAATAATTAACAAGACCTCATGTCCTACAGATATGAGAGTTGACAGTTATTAAAGTACTAGGGAGGTTGAAGACTATGGGATTTTTTTTTTTCTAATCAAAAAGAATCCGAATAAGTCTACTTACAGAGTCTGCCATTACGATTTTAGCTCGGGTAAACTAAGACTGCTTTACTTAGTACTGAAAATGAACTCCTAGACATAATCACGGAAAAAATCTCTCTACGAAGACAGTGTGTATGTTAGACATTCCTCATTAGCTGTTTCCCAGGACTAGAATGAAAGTGAACTTTGTCATGTTGAGTCAGGGGATTTAGGTTTTAGTCTCATTTCAGCAATAGTTTGCCCTTGGGTGAGCTGTCTACTCTACATCTCTGTTGCTACAAGAGTAAGTTTGTCTTGAAATTAATAAATTAATACTGAAATTTTCAAGGTGTTGTGAAATTGTTGTTGGAAAAGTCCCTGATATGGTTATATGGATGGCACCGGAGGATGGACAAAGTTATTTTATTAGTATTAACTAGAGATCCATTTTAGGATACCAACACAGTAAATGCCAATGTGACATGAATATTCTTGACTTCATGAACAGCAGGAAAAAAAAATACTCGAAGCAAACAATGCTTCAAATGCTTTCCTTAAGTTATTTCTGCTTGCTGATAAATCAGGCCTCGGAGGAAAGACGATGTTACGACTAATTTTGCTATAATTTTTCATGCGTTTAATCTAACTGCCAAGTGCTGGTTGGTTGTTCAAGAGTTTATTATGAGTCTCCGAGCATTCAGACAGCACTACAGCACTCTGCTGCTGAAGGGTTTCGAATCTAATTTAGACTTCATTAGCTCACATAACCTGGTGAATGGGGAGTGCTTGGTAAATTTATACCATTAAACTTTTTTTGTTCACAGAAGTATCTCTCTGTCAGCCTGATGGTATTGATGGTAATAGAACTGGACTGCTGCTGTAGAGTGCCCGGGGACAACGGGCCTGAACTTGTTGCAGAGACACTGCTAAGTGTCCAGAGAGAAGAATGTAATAATGGAAACAATTTTCTAGAGATTTTCTACAAAAGCCACAAAAATAACAGATTAACCCCATCACCACCACCCATACACATTTGCTCCCACAAGAGGGATTTAAAAGAAAGCATTAAAAGTGTTAAAGTGGGTAAGTTTGAACTTTTTAATCAGTTAGGCTGAAATTATGTCTTTTAAGTATCTGACAACCTGAAGAACACAGGGGAAGCGCTGCAAAAACAACACAGAAGTGTCAGCACCTTTTTTATGCTTATTTTAGAAGTATGTTCCTCTGCACTAGCCCAGAGGAGATCTGTGTTGTGCCATAATTGGGGCCTGGAGTTTCTGACTCCTTGTCCAATGTTCTCTTGACTGAGGCAATTTCTATTTTCTGGCAATTTGATTTTCTTGATCTTTTCCCAGAGCAAAAATGCCAGAATATTTTGGTCCGAAAGTCTAGACTAACTTTCAAATATACTGTATCCTGGTGTTGTAGCAACACAATTCAACAACTTCATATTTTAGGACTTTTAAAAGTCAAAAAAAATCTTTTTACCTTTTATTCTTTCATAATGGTTTATTTATTTTCAAATGAGTGCAAGACAGTGAAGAATAATCAGTATATTGCCAAATATTAATATATTGTAGTTCAATAGAAACTTAGTCTGGTCTTTTGAGATTCAGGTTTTCCACTGACACCATGAAAACAAGCAGAACAGACTTTATATAATCTTCTACTAAGTATTTCTTGCATGAAATTTCAATTTCTTTCTTCCTAGGGTTCTCAAAGAAGCACAATTTAGCTTCATTTCCATGACTACAAAAATGTCAGACCTCCACAAATGCAAAGTTCTGCTGATTTAATTTCTTTCTTTTTTCCCAAGTCCTTTTGTCTTTTCACTTCCTTCTTCCCAGTTTGGAAGGGAACAAATACAAGTTTCTTTTTAGTGGATTAAAAGTACAGAAAGGTGCCTATTATCTTCTAGGGAATCCTATCAACTAAGCTTCATAAGGGTGTTTAACTCCATTCCCCCTAGACAGATTTCAATTAGGATAATTATATTCCACCCACTTAAATCTCCCTTTGCAGTAGCTATTGTCTAAATGGCATTCAGTGCTGTTACCCAAAGCAAAAAGTTTACATGGTGGTTGTACACTCTGTAAAACAGACCAGGGTTCAGAAGAAACTGGCCTCACAGAGAGGCCTCCTCTCCTTGCAACAGGCAGGTCCATGAGGGTCTGCAGAGCCCACATCCAGCCTGGCCTATCAAACATGCTGCAGGATTAATGCCACAGTTTGGCAAGAAAGCTTCATTCAAGAAAAAGAAATGCACTTTGCTGTCCTCTGAGTAACGACACGTTTTTCAGGAATAAGCCTTGTTCAGAGGACCCTAGAAAACATTTGTTTCTAGGAGTCCGTATTCCCCCTGCAGAACTCTAGATGTGTTTGTACTATTTTTACTACTGTTTTGAGCTCGGGGTTGGTATGACTGAGCTGAGCCGTACAGATCCCACCTGGGAGCTGGTGAACTGCTGAGTGCGCCGAGTGCCAAGCCCTAGCAGCACACCAGGAAAACAACCTCTCGGTTGAGATTTTCATGCTTTCCAGGAGGAGAAATATGCTCCGTTTGAATGGCTCTCCCCCTCACTTCCCCTGCAGTGGAAGGTAACAAGAAGGTACTGAAAGATGTTGTATCACCTTAAACCCTTCCAAAATGCTTAGCTGTCCTCAGTGTAATCACCTGTGACAGATCTGTTTCGTGCTCTCTCTTTATATCACAACAGCCAAGGATTGGATGCCAGTGTCCCAAATCCCCGCTGTGCCATCCTGCCCCGCTGCCAAGGCTACCAGCTAATCTAGAATAAATCTGTCTTCTTCCGGGAACAGCCTTCTGCGAGGCACAAGCTGCTCCCGGGGCCCGGAGGCTGCACAACTGAACACTCATAGTGAGGACACCCACTGAAGATCTGCAAGAGCTGCGAGTAAATCCTGATGAAATAAAGCTTTATTTCTATGAAGAGGACCAGCTCTAACAGTGCTGCAGGTAACCAAAGCACTTGCCTGGAATGAGGTGTTGGGGCTGAGACAGAGCAGGGCCTCAGAGCTCACTCAAAATCGGAGCAAAATGGCTGGAGTGGGCACAGGGTGTTGGGCACAGGGTGTCTCTATTCCCAATTGAAGCTGCTTCCTGAGAAATCCCTCCTGAACAGAGTTTCATCAAAACGGGTATGGCCTCACACATTAATATCTAGTTTCAAAGACTGCTGCCAAAATTATGTTTTTGCAGAAAATTCCTGGTCAGGTCTAATTTCAGTGAGCCTAAAGGAATGCTGAAAGACAACAGTGCAGGATGGCAGAGATAAACCTGATCCCAGCTTCAGGCTGCTGAAGAAAATACTGCTAAACTTGACTGACACAAGTAAATTGTTTGCAGTGTAAACACGGTTAAGCCCTTTTTCCTTCTGATGTAAAGAAAACTGTAAATCAGGTCATTTTTCTGTTATACTTAAATATTGTGAGTTTGTGTAAATGCATGGTGCTCTAAATCTGAGGGCTTTGTTAGAGGAGTTTGTGACTGGCTAAGCACAGAAAAAGTAAGTTTAAGTGCAGAGATGATTAATGGAGCTCACTGATCTGAGCTATAGTTGATAGTACCGGTAAATAAGAGTTTGTTTTTAAAAGACAGAAGGTAAAGGATGTCCATAAAGGACATCAGGGAGATACAGTGGAAACAGCAACAGAGTTAGCAACAAAAGTGCTAGGTTTTGTTGTACTTCTTCAGAGACATTTTGCTCTAACAGAATTCCCTAGTCAGAAGGAAAATCCACATAAATGCAGCTGAGGCAACACATTTATAAAAGCAGTTATTCATACTCAAATGTAACTGAAGCTTCTACTTAAATTCGACTATTTTTTCGAGCACAAACGAGCACCGAATTCCAGCATACTTAGAGCCATAAATTACATTTTCAACGTAGTCACAGTTATCTCATGTCGCTTTTTTTCAGTTGTCAAGGTTTACAACAGAAGACAAATACACTACACACAAATATGTCCTACTCTTTCTCTGTGAAAGCTGTCGCTGCCCACAGCCTGGCTTCCTGACAACGAGTGCCAGTGAGAAACGTGGCAAACGCTGCTTCTTCATAGTCAGGGCTGCCTAAAATATTGAAGATAACAAAACATGTCAGATCTGAGAAAGAGGAAAATAGAAAGATGTACCTTCTCAGTACAGCAGAAGCTGTTCCCTCCGATCTCTTCCTGAGCTGCTCTGATGAGGATTTTACAGAATAAGAGTCCAAGAGCCTGCAGTATTCAGTCACATTTGATCACATCACAGGAATAGCTTATCAGTTCTGTTACACAGACTCTAAAACAAGCACGGTCCTTCTCCCCAACTCCTTCTTCACAGATTCCTGCACTCCTTAAAGGTGCTCAGTGCTCTGATGACCTTGAAGAAAGCTATTCATCTGTCTTCTAATGACACTGTTCTTGTTACTTAGTTACAGCACAGTGAATGCTGACAAAGTCAGGTATGAGCCAAATCTGTGCTCGCTGTAAATGCACTGTGTTCAGTCGAGCAACTGCAGGAATGAATTTGGAATGATTTAGTTCTCTTTTCAGCTCAGATGTGGCATGCTACTGCCAGTGCAGAAGTCGCAGGAACAAGTCGTAGGCATGTGGATTAAATATAGACTGGGGCTGGAGGGAGGGGAAGGGAGGTATGTTTAGCACATTGCTTAACAGCAACTAGAGAAGGAGGCGCAATCGCTACATTATGAAGAATATATTTTAATTTCTATAGCTTCTAGTCAGAAAAATGTTGTACACCAAGACAGCTTAGAGATAAAAGAAGAGGTTTATTCTAATAGAGTCTTTTTCTTGCCTGGACTGTCTGTCTTGTTTCCTTGTGGGGAGGGAACATAGAGTATAATCTAGCTGCAATTAAACTGCACCACAGAAGAACATTTCAAAGCCCCAAACCTTACACAGTAGTTCTCTGTTGCATTCTCACTAGAAAACTCAGACCTAGTCAGTGTTTGAAGCTCTAGCCTAGACACTTTTTACAGGATTCAAAGAAGAAAGGGCTTGTACGAAAAACTGGCAGCAGCTGGACCCGAGTGACTGAAAACAGGTTGTTGTCATTGCAGGGGAGAATAAAAAAGGTCCTTGAAAGGATTAGGGGCTACCTCAGAGCATTAGATAAACATCTGAGGTGGATGAAATGAATAAAGAATTGTAGGAAGCAGATAAAAGTGAGGATCAAAGTGCATTTTGTAACTCTAAACGAAACATAACTAAGACCATGGAATATAGCACAGTACCCAATGTCAATACAGAATCTCTTTGAAATATCCCTTCCACATCTAACAGAGCTTTAGCTCAACAAATATTTTCTTATAATCCAGACATCAAGCAGAACAAAGAATGAAAAAAGCAATAGTGCACTCCAGCTTCACCAACAGTAATTTCCTGTCTGGTTGAAAGCTAGTTCTGAAAGCATGACAGGTTGTGTCCACAAGGTCCCTGATGCCACCCACAGTCAATTTTAAGTGAGAATTTATTTTACTACTTGGCTGTGGTGAAAAGAACTTAAGACAGGAAAGCTAATTCTGTGCACTGGCGTTGTTCTGTAAGAGCACAGCTATTCTTTGAGGGTGTCCTTACAGTTAACTACAGCCAGTTGTGAACTGGTGGGTGGTATCAGCCCAGATTCTGCTTAGCATAAATTAGTGCCAAGACTTACCAGTTTGAGCAGAGTCCCATGACAAAACTTCTAAAGGACTTTTAGATTAAAGCTTAATCATATTCTTCAGGCTAGAAGCATGGGAGGAGCAAACATGCTTCCGCCTGCCCACAACTGTGTACTTGTATGATAAAGGCATGCTGCAAAGTAATGCTTTCTGTTGTCTAGATATTTCATTACATAAGTAAAGCTGACAAAAGGCAGTTAACTGCAAAACTACATAAAGCCATAGGTTCAGCTGGCGTCGCACCCAGATTGTGATAATGGCCTGAGGTTGCTTCCAAACAGCAGACAGGAAAGAATTGAACTCTCGTGATGCGTTATTCTGGTGTAATTTTCTGTAAGAGAAATCTCTTTGTCAGGCTGTTAGACTTTGGCTTACGCCTTTATCTTTTTGCTTGAGGAAGGTATGGAGTTCTTTGGAAAGTTTTGGCCAACAGATAAATCGCAGTATCTGGAGTGGGTAGTTACACACCTGTTCACATAACTTGTCTAGATTTAGCCCAATATAAATACATCCTGTTAGAAAACTGTGAAGAGACATAAATAACACAGTTTTTGTGCAGGAACAAAGTCCAAAAAGATGGATGAGGTTGTTGCAGAGCGTTAGGATATTGTATTCACGGAGCATGACTTTGGGAACGTGGCAGTGCTGTCCCCACTGCCTCTGCACCGCAGAGCTAAGGCTCTCTGTTAGGATATTGTATTCACAGAGCATGACTTTGGGAAGATGCAAACCCCGGAGGCCGTAGCTTGGGTTACAGCGTCACGCTAGAGGCTGTAGGGATCAGAACAAGGGGCTGGCGCAGAGAGCAGGTGAAGTTCAGGTGTGACTGCACAGATCGGAGCAGACCTGGCCAAGCACACAGACCCCAGGCTCAAATGCAGACCCTGCAAGCACAGATGCAACGTGGCAGTGCTGTCCCCACCGCCTCTGCACCGCAGAGCTAAGGCTCT